GCATCGACAGACATGCCGTGAAAATGTACCTTTTGATTCATTGGAAAAATATTACAGGCGATCAGTTTACATCCCTCTTCTTGATGCACTGATATTGGATATAAATACTCGTTTTTCTAAAAAAAATTTGAAGTGTCTCAAATCTATTCTTTGATGCCAGAAAATATTATTAAACTAAATCATAAAGATGTTGTCGAATCTGTTTCAGCAATCAGTAATTTCTATGGTACAATTCTTGGACTTAGTACCCAACTTGAATTTATATCGGAAGTTGAATTGTGGCAGAGCAAATGCTTTAGAATGAACAAGGACGGAGGAGGAGTCAAATCACTGACTACTGATCTTTCTGTTGTTTGTCATTTGTGTGACCCCGTACAATATCCAATCACTCAGAAGTTGTTCCGTATTATTAAAGCATGTCCAGTTAGTGTTGCCAGTGCTGAACGTAGCTTCTCAACTCTACGAAGAATTAAAATATGGCTAAGAACACGAATGACAGAAGACAGATTAGTCGGATTGGCACTACTTAATGTACACAGAGACGTTTTAGTTAATGTTGAAAATGTAACTGAGCGTTTTGCGAAGTCAGGAAATCGTAAAATAGAATTTGTTTTATAAATTGTTATTAGTCAACCTATCAAGATAGTAGGTACCTCGCTAGTCTAATAAAATAAATAAACCCATTTTGTAAAACACTTATAGGATTAAAAAAAGGAAAATAATTTTTTTATATTTATGTATGTACTCATATATGTATATATTGACTATGTTTGATCCAAATCATTACATTTATTATTTTATGACATTAAAAGTTGAAAGTTTTTGATGACATTGCATGCTTTCTTATAAACAGTAATAAAGAGTTGACAAAAATAAACTAAAAATTTTTCTTTTTGTTTCAGTGGGGGGCCCCCCCTCTCTATGGATCCGCCACTGAAACAGTGGCAGTATCATCATCAAGCTTGATCAACTTAAAATACTAGAAATTTTTCTTTTTTTTTTAGTCGGGAGGTTGGATCCGCCACTGGTTGTTGTTATTTTTTACTTTTTTGAACAGTCTTGATTCGAGTGTGTTGAATATCTGAGTGACGGTAGGATATGATGCAGGTAGATAGTTGAAGCGGATTAGTTTTTTGATGAGAGATTGTAGTTGCTGAAGTTGTTGTTGTGTAGCAAAACCAGATCAGGAGAGAGCTGCATATTTGATGCATGAAATTATGAGTGATACAGTGATGTCGAATAATTTGATCTCTGAGACCAAGTGAGGGGAGAGTTTTGAGTGCGTGAAATGTTTAAAGGCCTTTTGTGATGATGTGATTAATGTGA